CCCTGGCACGCGTGCAGAGAGCAGGCAGGGGTACAGCAGGAGGTCGTGTTTGTGAGCGGGCATCATAAAAATCCGCTTCACTTGTGTCCGAAGCTAGTAACTTCTATAGAACTGAAGTATCAGTAGAAGGAAGGAGTATTTTTGTCTTTATTACATTATGTAGTGATAGGACACGGGGCAATGGCTTTAAACTGAAAGAGGGGAGATTTAGATTAGATCTAAGGAAGAAATTCTTCACTCAGAGGGTGGTGAGGCACTGGAACAGGTTTCCCAGAGAAGCTGTAGATGCCCCATCCCTGGAAGTGTCCAAAGCCAGGTTGGATGAGGCTTTGGGCCACCTGGTGTAGTGGAGGGTGTCCCTGCCCATGGCAGGGGGGTTGGAACTAGATGATCTTTGAGGTCCCTTCCAACCCAAACCATTCTATGATTCTATATTAGATTTTTTTAAAAAGATTTTGACAAGGTCCCTTGAAAGAGGCAATTAAAGAAATCCTGTGGATTAGTTGTTGATTAAAAGATGGGAAACCAAGTAGGAATAAGTAGGTTTCTCAGCAGAGGCAAGAAGTGTCTGTCACCAAGCAGGGACCACAGACTTCTCTGCTGTGACTGCTGGGAAGCACCGACATCCTGAGAAAGGAAACAGGTAGCAAGGACAAGAAATCACAAACAAGCAAATTCAAGGTAATGACCAAGGTGCCTTGAGAGGATCTTGTAATGCTGAGTGGGCAAAAAAGTGATGTGAAGTTCAGTGTTAAACAAGTGAAGTCATACATATGTGAAAAATCACCTTAACTACACTTACCGATTTATATATTTTTGTCATTTAGGAAAGATTTTTAGAGGGTTGGTATTTCTGTGAAAATGTCATGTCGGCAGCTGTCAAAGAGACAAATAGAAAGTCGCAAACTAACTAGGACAGCAATAAAGAACAAGAGGAAAAAAAATCACCCCTTTACCACTCCAGTAGACTATATTTTAAGTCCTGCATGCAGTTCTAGTTCCCTCCATCATGGAAAGCAGACTATGAAATTGGAAAAAAGTGCTGGGGACAATGAGAGGTATGGAATGGTTTCAGAATAAAGGAAGACCAAATAGACTAGGACTTGTGTCATCTTGTTGAAGCAATGCACTAACATTTTAATTTCATTTTTTAGAATGATAATAATGAAAAAGAGAAAAGTGCATGAGGAACCTGTACAGAAAAAGAAAAAGGTGAAAAGTAGTAGAAGCCAGGCTATCGTTAAAATTGAGAAAGATGTTCCAACTGTCATTAAAATTGAGGATGATGACCAGCGTGAGTCAAAAAAAAAAGTCAGGAAAAGGGAAAATTTAAATGATGATGAATGTTTAGACCAATTAGAACTGAAGAAGAAGAAGAAGAAAAACAAGAAAAAGAAAGTTATCTCTGAATTACTGAAAGAAGCACATTTAGAAAGCTTTGTCAATGTAGGCGGCCATCTGGATTCAGAACCTCAAGAATCATCAGAGGAACAAATTAAAATTCTTAAAAAGAGGAAAAAAAAAGTCCAACGTCATTCCTCCTTATCATTGGAGAATAATCAGAATAGTGATGGGGAGGTTTCAAATCATCATACAAATGGTACTAAGGAAAATCAATTTGCTTTTAAAAAAAGCAGGAAGAATACTGCTTTGAATTTGGAATTGGATGGTGAAGTAACTAAGAAAAAAAAGAAAGGCATTTTTTCTTTTTCATTAGAGGACATCCAGGACAGTGAACATGAACAGTCTGAAAAAGTTTGTAAAAAACCACAGAAATACATTTCACAAGAAAAAGCTTTTACAGGTGAAACCCATGGAACAGGTATTATCCAGAATGACGGGGAGAGTTATATGGGAAGAAGGAAGAGGAAGAAGAAGAAAGATAAGTCCAAGTCCTTCTTACCACTAGCAGATAATCAGAACATCATCTATGGAGTTCCTGATAGCCCTGTTGCATTAAGTGACTTCAGAAAAAGGCAAAGAAAGAATTCCCAGGAAATTACATTGACAGAGGAAGAGGACGGTACTGAGAACTCTGGAAGTATCAGAGAGACCAAGAGAAAGAAGAACAGAAGCAAAGATGTTTCTTCCTTAACATGTGAATATGATCAAGATTACAGTCACAGAGTTCCTGATAAGCATCTCCCAGCACAGCAAGAAGTTGAGCCTGAGGACAAAGAGCTTTCTGGGAAAAAAGGCAGGAAGAATATCACAGATAATAATGAAGTCATCAAGAAGAAAAAGAAAAAGAAGATTCAGAAAGAGGAGGAGGAAACAACATATTTGAAAGTTTCTTTAAACAACGACAGTGCATCTAAAAGCCAAAAAATAACACTACTAGAAAGGAAAAAAAAGAACAAAGAGAGCAAAACGCAGCGAGCTGAATGTGTCACCGGGGACGCTGTAGATAGGGTATTACACAATACTAATCATACGCTCTGTGACAGAAAAAGGCGAAGAAGAAAAAAAGTAGCAGAGGACCTCACTGAAGAACCAGGTTCAAAAGCAAATACAGAAAAGCAAAAGATCAAGAGAGAAGACATGGGAAATGAGGCACTGGTAAGTTGTAAAGAAGGTATCTTTGCATCTTCCTGCTAAGGAACTGAAAGCTTTTTAGGTAGACAGTTTCGTGTTTTGCAGGCTGTTCTGCCTGTTCAGACCCTTCGGTTACATTTAGGTCAATAGGGGCCTCCTCTGGGTTTTGGGAAGCAGGATCAGCTCATCTATTGATTTCAGCACGTTGTAAAACACGGGAAAGTATTTTTTAATGCCTACTGCTGTAGTCATCTGGTGTTCCAATTGTGAAAATGTAAGTATTACAACTAACAGCAAGTAGTGGCACAAAAAGAAAACTAGTACATACAGTCATAAACATTTTTCTATCCCTACTTCAGTTGCTCTTTGCAAAGTGGCAGCACTCCTACAAAACAGAATTTTAATACCTCATTTAACCTGAGCAGGTTGGTAGCAGCATGAGTGCATCTAACCCTGTTTGTTAGACTTTTCCTCAAGCTTTTGCTGCTGGAACTGCATAGTGTTAGAAACAAGAGGTAAATTCAGCCGAAACCTGTTGTCTAACTTGGACAAAACTTAAGAGAAAATCCTAAGAATCCTAAATGCAGACTAGGCCTAGAGCATTGATGTATAAATTTTGAAGGAAAAATACTAGAGAACAACCTAAACACAAAGTCTTAATTAAAAAAATAAATCTGTGCAAGAAAAGAAACAGATTTAAGAGTTCTGTAAATTATAACTGAAGGTACCTGGAATTGTGTCCTGACTGACTGTTAAAGGAAATCCCATCCCAGAGTCTTGCAGTACTGTGATTTCTAGATGAAACAAACATGGAGAAGATCTGATGAAAGATATGAAATACAGAGGTTTCTTCTTCTATTTTTTTCAAAAATTAGACTAAGATCTGGGTTTATTGCTTTAACTTTTTTTTTAATATTTATTCTTTTTTGATATGTTTAGGGTCATATTTCACAGCTATTTAAGGGCCTAAATTTAGTACTTACATGCCTAACCTCTGTTGTCATTAGAAATTAAGCTGTGAGATACTCAGAAATTCAGTAAATATCTATCTGTATTTTTGATAACAGCTTATCAACTTTGAAAACAGCTCATTGCAAGTCATTAGGAGCTTGTTTTTATTTTCATAGGTAACGAGAAACTGCACTCTCGTTTTTTATCAAGAACTTTGAACGCTTGGCTTGTTTAAAAGTCAAGCACTAGATAATAAAACATCATTGAAGACTTTCGTAAACTAGGGACAGAGCAGGCCGTAGCGCCGGCTGCCTCTCGAGCACACGTCATGGTGTGCTCCGCTTTGTTACGCACTCACATACCCAGTTGCTTCGTGTTCTGTGGAAACCTGGCAGCTTTCTGGGGTCTCGTGCTAATTATTAAACATGGATTTGCATAAGCAGGTTCTTCAGCCTTCATGGAGACCCAGATACAGGCTTTTTCCACAAAGGTTTGTGTTGGGATTGTGTACACTTATCAGTCATTAGGTGAGCAGATGTTTGGGGCTTTTTACTCAGGTTTCTCCTTTTGACCTTTCAAAGGACAAGGTGGTTTTATTGCTGAGATATATTTTCTAATTAAATTGACATTACCTTTTTGAGACATTTGGACTCTTGCAGCTGCTCACATTCTGTGGAGGCGAGATAAGCCTAACAAGGACAAGTACACTTGCGTGAAGGTAGTGACCAGTTGCAATGGAAAACACAGCAAATACCTTGCAGGCAATTGCAGAGAAGGGTGTAGGGTGATGCATGTTTTGTTTCTCTTCTCCATATTTAGCTCTGTCCTTTCATAATAAAAAGTACTTTAGAGAAATTCTCCTGAAGATTGAGAAGTCTGGAAAAATCGGTTCTAGAGAAATCGAGTTCGTGCCGAGCCAAAAGACACTGCTGTAAGAAATGGCTGATAACGTTGGTCTTGCATTTAATTGTGCCATTGTCCTGAGCCATCTTCTAGTCAACAGTGTGTCACACGTACTGCTGGATGCCTTGAAAAATCCTGTCGGGCTTGTGCAGCAAGCAAAAGAGTAAGTTTTTAAAGACAATGTGGAGCAATACCCACTTAATATCAGTGATTGATATTTCCTTTTGGATGCCATTACAGTCAACTTGGGCAGAGTGAGGAGGAGTGAGGACTCGATTTACTTCTTTGAAATTGTTTGCTTGCAGATAGCTTAATTCTACCATGTGTGAATGTGCTCCCCTTCCCTGGAGTTGGGGGAAGACTGGCATACCTCCAGAAAGGAGTTAATTTTTGCCACGCAGTAGCCTTCAGCAGGTCAGCGACATGCTGTGAATTAGCAAGGATGGGGGTGCATCCTTCCTTCTTCCTTGTCTGCCACTTGACCTTCCAGCTAAAAAAAAAAAACCATGTTGCAGCTGTTTGCAGAATCCTGTCACGACAGTTCTCCTGCTTGTTTTAAGAGATCTGAAAAGACAGTACCAGGCCATCTAGAAGTAAACTGAGTTGATTTTTTGTTTGTTTGTTTTTTCTTTTCATCCAAGAGAATGAGCTCTCCTTATTGCAGTGTTCTTGCATTTGTAATGGTGCACGTACTTGTGTGTGTGTGAAATCAATGTATAAAAGGTAGCTTTGGAAAACGAGGTAAATCGTGCATGGCTTTAAATAAAACTGTAACCTCTCAACAGCAGCTTCTGCTGACAGAAGTACGTTGCAAATCTTTTCCTTGTCTTAGTGTTCCCTGGCTATTTCACGCTTGGATTGTTATGTTAGCTGTATCAATAGATCTTCCTGTTGGCCACCTTTTCCAGCCTGGTCTAAAGCTTATGGCTCTAATTTACCACTGTTCTGGACTTATTACTTATCCTGTTACACTGAACGCCCAAAAATCTTATCCTTATCCTTTTTAGAAATTTAGAAAAGAAAGGCTGAGGGCAATGATCTAGAAAGGCCAGTCAATGGGAGCAAAAGCTGCTGAAGGGCTGCAGTTTGTGGAAGAGTTAGCAGTATCTGGCTGCTTGTGGACTCTGCCACTGATTTATTTCCTGCCCTCCTGCCCATCCATTCCTGCCGTAGCTGCCATGGCCCTTCACATCAGCTTCCTGTTCCTTGCGCTCAAACGTGGAACTAACATACTGTTTGCTGCCATTGTAGGAGACGCGTTTTATACGTGTCACACCTCTCCCTGTGCTCTTTCCAAACTGGAAGCTCCTTGGGCACCAGTCACCTACTCTGCATCTGTACAAGATGATGCTTCTCGATTTTTATTTTTTTTTTAAGTGGCTAGTGGGATCAACATGCCTCAGGCTTGTCCTGTGCCTTCAGAGAGGCCATTGTCTTACCACCAATTTTTGAAATTTTTTTAAACTGTCAGTCTTTCTGTCCCTTATTTCAAGTATAAGTTTAAACTTTTATAAAATGCTTTAATTTCAGATTACCCTGGCTGCAAGCATTACTGTATGTACCAGTGATGTTGCAGGTCCATTTTAATGTGTGATTTAAAAAAAAATGTCTTATCCTCTTTGTTAAAAATAGGATCTTCTCCTTGAGGAGAAAGTCTCTCCATAGAAATACACAGGTTTCATTGGCATTTTCAGCTTAGATACGACTATTTCTTCTTGCTCCAGAATACTACTACTTTATTGCTTAGTAGTATTACTTATATGGTCAGAGCTGTGTAAATTCTAATTAACCAGAATGGATAAAACTATTAATACAAGCTTTTTCCTGTTTTACAGGAACATGTGGATGATGTAACTATTGTGCAGGTAAAAAAAGGAAACTGTGATGAAGTTAACATAGACAAGGTATGCTTTGTCTTAATTGTGTAAGATTTCAAGCAAGTCAGCATTTAGTATAGACATAGAATTTGTAACAAAAAAACTGCTTTGTTGCTTGTCTATGCCAAGATTTCCTTAAACAGAGCTCTGCTTAAAATGTGGTTTACCTTCCATGGGTTAAGTCCAAAATGTACAGCTGTGGTCAATGTCAGAAGCTTCTAAGTAGCTTACCAGGTTAAATACAGGTTTCTTTGCCTCCAGTCAATGTTGGCAGTTTCAGTGTAGCTGTTACCTGCACTTAAAAGATTAAACGTATCTGATACAGCAAAATCTTCATTTAAAATACCACTATAAAAAAAAAAAATCGCAGTTCTTGTGTTGAGTGTGTAAAAGAATCACATGCAGCTTTTTAATTGTCCTTGCAAAATTCTGGAGATAACCATTTTATTCTTAGTGTCTTGTGCTGTTTTTCGTGTGTGCCAGGTGAGGCGGCAGGCTCTGCAAGAAGAAATCGATAGAGAATCCGGCAAAACTAAGGATTTCAGCCCCAAAGTGGAATGGGTATGTATGAACTTAGACCTTGATATGATGGAAATACTATCTCCCAGAGCAGGTTCCTGCAAAAATCACTGCACTCTTTTTTTGTACGTGGCTTAGATACATGGCTTGACACAACAGTCTTCCTTCTGACTGTAAATTTAAGGTCATGCTATAGAACAAGTTCATAAAACCTCAAGAGAGTCTGGGAGCTGACCAGTGAACTCCAGCAGCAGCTGGCATTGTACAGACATTGTACAGATCTAGTTCCCATCACCAGTCCTCAAATTGCCCAGAGAAGTGGTGGATGCCCCCTCTCTGGAGGTGTTCAAGGCCAGGTTGGACAGAGCCTTGAGTAGCCTGGTCCAGTTGAGAGGCGTCCCTGCCCATGACAGGGAGGTTGGATTAGATGATCTCTGAGGTCCCTTCCAGCCTATGCCATTCTATGATTCTATGAAATGCAACATTTTCTCTGGTTCCTCTGCAGAATGAGCCATGACAAATTGCTACAGTAGCATTTTCTGTTTACTGTGAAATACAAATAATTCTAGGCTATGGATATAGCAGTCACTGGATTGTATCTGAATTGTGATCTGGAAGACTGCAGACATTCAGAAACAGGGATGCACGTGGAAAGGTAAAAGGGATGACAACTGATAACGTGTGATATTTACAGTCGGTCCTCTCCTAACTTCTACATCTTTCCTTCACCACTCTGAAAGATGATTCTTTATTCTTTGTTTTCGCATCCTACTCACTCTGCCTCCTGACAGGTTTACAGTAGAGTCGTGGAAACTGTTGCAGTAGTGTTTAGCGGGTGTAGTAAGATTCAGGAAGAGAGAGAGCTTTGCTAGTAATTCAGGATTCTTAGTTGTTTTTCAAGACTGCCAGTACATCTAGAAAGTTGGAATATACCTCAAAGAAATGCCAGAAACAGCTCTGCTAGGTTTTTACATAGTGGGAGGCAGACTGCAATAGCTCTGGAACTGCAACTATCTAATAGTCTCTGAAGTCATTGAGAAAAATGACATCCTTGGCAGTGGATCTCAGTTCTTTGGTGCTGATCTGTCTCTGTGTAGAAGTACACAGAAGAATAAAAGCTATGGAAACTAATTCATCAGCTTCACAAAGAGTGAGCTGGAAGTGCTGTAGCAAAAGCTATGTGTAGTGCCTGCCAGCAATTCACTTAAAAAAAAATTACAGGGTTTGACAAGCCATAATTATTTTTGCATCTGTGCAGATGTCTCCCATTCCAAAGGGAGGACATATATATGTATATGTGTGCATGTGTCTGTATCACGAACCTGGGCTTATACAGCAACTTGTCTTTGAGCAAGGTAAAAATACCAAAGTATTACAGATAGTTTTCTTTTAACAGCAGGTATTCTGGCCTGTGATAGTGAATGATACTCCAGCCTTGCATTTTTTTAACTTAAAAAACCTGCTACAGCTTGCCTGCAATATTGTGTAGCATGCTGTGCGTCATGTTGGCTGTCTAGTGGAGAATGACTGTTTCATGCAAGCTACAACTGTTCAGTTGGAAGGATTTCAGGTGTACATAAACACACCACGATATTCACATTTTTTTCCTTTGAGGTAGCCAGCTCAGTCTATTGAATTAATGATCAAACGTTCTTCCATTTAATATCACCCCCCATTTTAAAGAAAAAATTGGGAGTAGCAGTCCTGCCAAAAATAGTTAAAAATGACTGCATAGCTCCTAGCTATAGCTTGGGAATCAATTAAGATCCATAGATAATGAAACCTGTTCTTAGGTAAGCCAAAAGTTCATTAACTTTGTGAATCATATGATGTATCTTGGGTTACCCACAAATGGCTGAATTCTGGTTTTACTTGGACGTTTACTTATATTCTCAGAAAGGAGCCAGTCCCTGCAGACAAAAGAAAAATCCTGAAGGAGGGAACTAATTCAAAGAATACAGTGAAAGGCAGAGCAAAGGAATGGCAAACTGCGAGGGAGGGAAGGCTTTAACAGTACTATATTTAGTCCTGTTGGATGAGGGTACGCCCTCAGTTTTTGCATCCTTGCAATATTAGTGGTGATTAGTGGGATGAGAATAGAAATATTACTGAAAGCAGACGAGTGAGATTGAACACTGTCTCCAAAACTCACATAACAAAACACTGCTTGAAAACAACAGCTACCTAACTAGGCAGTAGGAGAATGAAAAGCTAACCGTACGAAGTGACAGAGTGGAAGAGGATTAAGTCTGACAATTGTCTTAGAAAAAGAGAATGACTGGGCAATGTCTGGCTCATTGAGCTAGGTAACTATTATCCAGAGAGCAGAAAAGTCACGATTCCTAAAGACAGAGGGAAAAGAGATTCTGAAAGTGCATTAAACTCTGTCTCCAGGTTAAATGACCTGAAATGCTAATGAAGATGCAATCATGCAGGACTATGTCATTCTTTTATCTTGTTCTTTGAGAGGTACTGCCCCTGGAATGACTGCTTCCCAGCTTTGTCAACCCTGTCAGGTTTTTGTAGCTGGTTCTCTTTTCATGGCACACAGCCAGAAATTGTCGTCCTTGGTCTTGGTGTTATTTAATTTTAGTGTCATCCTTCTTTTGCTTCACAGGATACAAAGTTGGGCCAATGGAGTACAGCTGCTTTTCAAAGTTCTGAGAAAGAAATGAAGTTTTTTAGACTGATGGGTGGCTTTAAAAAGGGCTCTGTGCCTATCCAAAATCTCTCAGCAATGGCAAACAAACCAAACATGGCTCTGAACAGGGAAGGAGAGGAGAAGTTACAGCAGGCTCTGAAGATGGAATTTGATAAAGCAATGGACTTCAAGCAACATAGAGGAATTGGTCTTGGATTTCAACCTGCTGCCAACAAAAAAGTATACATAGACAAATATGCATCTAGATCTATCAAACTTGAAGATTAAAACTCTGAAGTAATAAAAGGAATGAAAATTCAACAGGAAAATTTCTTTTCATATCTTTTTACTTGAAATAAAACACAAAATGTTTAAGAAATTTGAATTATGAGGCATTTTTAGTACAAATTTTCAACTGCATATGCCAGATTATGTGGAACTATGTCCTCACTTCAGCTAAACAGTAAGTTCTTGAAACCTTTACAATGTATTGTACAAGACAAGAGACAGCCTCCTTGATTGAAGATATGTGGGCAATGCCTACAACAAGCTGAAACTTAGTAGGTTTTTTCTTAAAATGCTGATTTCATAAACTTATTTTTAGCTACATTTTAGTAATTCAAATGGATTTTAGTGTTCTGTAAAATCTTCACATTTTTACACTCAGTGAGTGGTACAAAGTGATGGCATTTTACTTGAAAAAACTACTGGTATGCCTACAAATTTGATGAGGAGAGACTTTTAACTCAGAAAGTAGTTTCTTAAATATTAGCATCTCCATTATAATAATGAATAGCATTGAACATCCTCTATAACTGTGCTCTGAAAGCTGGATTTTCAAGCAGCAGCTGTTATCTGTAAATGAAGATAAACACTTTCTGGATAGCAGCACCTAATGCATAGATCTAGACTTCCTAAATTCTAGAAAGCAAGGTAATTTTAACAATGTAACCCAGCCTCTTAGAATTAGGTTACTGTCTCTACTTACCCAGCTCATGTTTTTTCTGCTGAATTACCTATCCTTTATTATAAGATCATGCCAACTGATCTACTAATTTCTTGCTCTTTTAAGGCACTTTCCACAATAGTCTTTTCCAGTGAACTGCTCTACCTGAAAGCAGCTGCCTCCCGCAGAAAATACACTTAGCAAAATAACTGTTGGTTCTAGTGCATTTTGGGCAACTCCTGAGGGGAAATTAAAATTATGCAGAGACTCTAGTTTAAGGGGTTGCCTTGAATCCATTCCCATACCTGGGAAGAGGGAGATGCTGAACCACTTCTGAACTTGTCTTTGAGGAAACCATCTCCTTTAAAGCGTCATTTAAAACCACCACTACCTCAGAGTGAGTCTGTTTTGCTCTCACAGCTCAGCAACTGGCTTCAGCCAGCCCTTCTAGGCTTTAGCTGTTGCTTTATTTAAATTCAGGTAGTGCAGGTTCCGTTTTCTCTTCTGATTTGAGACAAATGCTGAATTCAGGCTCTCAGCTACTTGCCTGGCAAAAAAATGAGTTAAAGCAACAGGTAGGAAAATGTCAACCAATGACTTCATTGAGAAAGAGAGGACAGCATGCCTGTGCAGAGCCAGTCTTGGATGGGTAGTGACTGGTCTTGCACTGCCACTGATGAAGAGGCTGAAGGTGATACTGGTCCTAGCCTTGCCTTTTTTCCCCTCTAGAACTGCATAATGTATACCAGCGTGTTGCTGAACTACAGCTCTGTGGATGGCCTGGCACCTTGCTCTTGATAATACTGTGCACATGAAAACGTCGTAGTTTCAAAAACAAGACACATACCTCAGGAAAAATCTGTCAGCTTTTTTTAAAATCAGTCCAACTTGGTCTGGCCTGGATAGTTGCTATATACAGAAGAAAGAGAATGTCTCTAACAAGTAGAGTGCTTTAACTAAAATTAATTTTGCTCTAACATGGAAGTAAGCCAAAAGCAGTTTATTAGAGTGCTTATATTAACTTCTAAGCTAGATGTTTATAATTTGCTCCTGATAACTAACCAGCCTGTCATTGAGCTATTTTTGCGCTAATAATAACAGTAGTAAAATATTTGAAGGCACTTCTCATAGTAGTCTTGCATCAATAAAGAAACCAAAGTTATACTGTGCTCAAAAGATAACAGGCAAAAATTGGTGCCTCCACAGGGAAGAGGAATGGCTGGGCCATTTGTAAGCCTGCTGTAAGAGTTTCCATTTTATACAATCTGGAAGAACTTCACACTGGGTTTAGAGCAGTACGTTTGCCCCTAGAGGGCAATTTCTGCCATACCACAGCTGCTCAGTGTGACCCACTTGGCGGTTTAGAAAGCTCAGAGTTAATTCCACTTACCCAGTTCATGGTTTATGTTTCCAAGCCCAACAGGAAGAATCATCTTCGTGCTGTTGAGAGTCGTTTTGTGCAGCTGCGGCAAGAAGGAAAGCTAAATTAAAGTGGGACATGATAACATATGCAGAACTATCATTTCATGATGTGTGCTTTACACCAAATTATTTAAGAAGAGTCAGTATAATTAAAATAGCTATGTATTAAAGGTTGGAAAGGTTCTATATCAAGTTCATACCACTTCATAAGTATTGCAGCAATTTTACTCAGCTTACATATATAGTCTGTACCAGGACCAAATGGTCCTAGTTCACTTCTTTACAATCGTTAAACAAAATACATATTTTAGGTGTACCCTGGTTCAAAAACCACTGAGGAGATTAAAAACATGCAACAAGAATGGTTTAATAATTTGGGTGGTATTTATTATCAGCTTGCTAACTCCTTAAATATATGGTTCTAGCAAAACTGATTACTTGTTTAGCCTTAACAAAATAAAACATTTTTGTGCAAAAATATATCTTAATATCTATATAAGGATTTAGCTCTTTAAAATACTTACCACTAAGCAAAAGCAGCAATAGATGCAGGGTCTCAACATGGTTCCTTACCATGGGACAGAATTCGTGAGAGTGAAATTTATTAGGTGTAATAGCAGTACACATAACTAAATTCCGCAAGGGTAAGGTGATAAATTTGCAAACGCAAATAAATTCCCCCAGAACAAACAGATGAACTGCAAATTGTTTTATTCAGTGATAGTGTACTTTGCATACATTTCCATTTTCCTTTGCAGACAGCACTTGAAGATTCCTTCCATTTTACAAAACATCATTGAACTAAAATGAAAGCATAAACATGTCTGTGAAAATGTATTGTAGAAATTAGAACAGTAACACCTCGGCCATTTTTCTCTTTTACTGGAACTGACCAAACAAATGTTGGCAGCATCCCAAAGCAGAAAAACTACTTAGTAGGATATTATATTGAAATGCTGCTTTCTACATAGGAGGAAGACTATTCTGCAAGTGGGATGAAGTTTGGAGGCTGTGAATTGATCTGTGCAGATTATCTTCTTCCTTTGAGGCTAAAATGACAACAGATTAGATTTCAAAAGTTTTTTGCAACCTCAGAGGTTCACAATACCCTTTACTAAATCTAAATCAGTATTTAAAATAAGAACGTAGTGGTAAAACTGGAAACAGAAACTCAGGTTAAATTATTGCACTCAGAACAGTTTTACTTTTACCTCTGTCCAAGTAAACCTGTCACACTGAGTAAAATAAAAATACACTGAACTCCTCCAGTCAAAATCTAGATCAGTGATTTTTGGCCTCAGCTACATGCTCTCTTGTACAGATGACTCTTTGGAAAAGAAGCATTCATCAGGTCCTGGACTGCAGAGGAAGCCGAAGGGCCAGGTCTGTGAAGTGACTCGTTTCAGGTTGTTCGCTTCGCCTCTTGATGTATTCCAGCGTTTTCACCTGGGTATGAAAAGAAAGGTATTTTGCGATTTCTAGTGTCTTTGACTTATTTCATAGGCCATCATCTATAATCTATGTGAAGGTGTTTTAATAGACACTCATGATTTTCCCTAAATTTCACTGGCTACATGAGCACATTCTTACTCCAGAGCTTGTTATGTGTATCTTTAAAGGCTCTAGAATGCCCACTTTCCTCTTAAAGACAGTATTCTGTACTGAAAAAGTTACAGCATCCAACATTTTCAGGTTCCTTAATGTGTGAAATACATTAAAAAATGCTAGAAAGATATACACCACTTGAAATAAGAGAAGGTGCTTATTCATTAAGAAGCCTTTTTTTTAAAAGTTGGGGTTTTTAAAGGTAATTTTGTTTTTAAGAGAGCAACTTGAAAAGAGATTAGTTTTATTCAGATCAAGAAAATGTTACTTTTTCCTCAAATGAGGGGTTGAAAAAGACCTTAAGAACTAAAATTTCTCTGCATTCTCTGTTTTCCTTACCATAGTCTTGGTGTCAGCAAAGCCATGTTTCTGAGCAAGATTCCAGAGATTGACTGAAAGCTGGTTTAGTTTGTTGTTTCGTAGATCCCCATGAGCTAGAATAGTGTTAAAGAAATAGAGTGCCAGCTGGCTCTGCCGCTTTAGGGTCTAGAATGAAAAAAAAAAAAAAAAAAATCCTGTATTACCATATAGTCATCTCAAAATATCCAGCATACACTTCCAAGAGTTCAGAGAACCCAGGGAGGTTAAGTGGCAGATACTCATTCTGTAATACACAGCAGTAATTACAGACACAAGAATACAGGCATAGCTTTCATGTTGCATTGAAAGCGCAACAAGAAGCCATAGTCATGAATCAACCTAAGTTGCTGTGAATAAAATAATTACACAAGACTCCTACATCCCATACCACTCTGGCACAGCACAGTATATAGCTCTGACACATTTTTAACTCGAGACTCCCTAAAATTGGATAGAAGTCATCCTCCCACCAACCAGCCTTGCACTTGCATCACCATGGCTATATATTTTTCAGAGAGCTCCTGATGATTAATCTAGATTAATGCCATTTCAGGCTTTTCCCAGCAGTCTATTCTAGTTTTATTTATTTAACCAAAGATGTTTTTTCCCTGTTATTCTTTCACGGAAACTTCAGCGATAGCAACATATTTGCATCATGTTTGCAGCTACTTTCCCTAAAATTGCTGAGGAGAGACCTTGAGGAGGACATCTGCTTTGTGGTAATCTGCCATGGAGGAGCACCATGCCCTTCAACCTCTATGGAGGAGTTCTGGGGCACAGACAATCCTGCACTAAGGTTACAGGGTGCTACCACTCTGATTTGGGGTGAGTGGAAAACAGAAGTAATTAAAATGCTATTGCAGATTCTGCCTATTCCTACAGAATAAGTTTTAAAAGGCTAAAAGGACAAATTATTATTGGATGCATCCAAGATGCAGTATTTGTTTATACTGTTTTGCTGCAGCTGTCCTTTGTTTTTTGCTCAAGGAAGACCACAGATAAAAGCATAGCTCAATCTTACACAGAAACCACAGCAGCAGAGTTGTAGTTAAAACAAAACTGTCAGCTGAGGACCTCGATTAATGAACTTAATACTTCACTTCAGCCCCCTCAGTTCAATACGTGTTAGGGTAGCTAATATACAGTGTTCAGATACAAAGTTACAGGAAGAATGAGGCAGAGATTGAGGTAAGAAGAGTGTGGTGGTCTTTATGACTTGTGTGCTCCTGACGATACCAATGCAGCCACACAGCCTCCACCCCTTCCCTAAGGGACTGAATGTAAATTAATTTCTCTTCTCATTGCCAGCAGAAGAGAGGTCAGATGCTATTAATCAAAGAAATGGCACACACTGAGCTATCAGTCCTCCAGATAAATAGGGAAAAGGAGAAAGCCATGCCATTATAAAATTGGCTAACTAGAAAAGAGGACACAGCATGCCCCAAACTAGAAGCATCAGACTGCTACTGCATGTATGTGACCCACATGGTAGATCTGTACATGCAGAACAAATGTGACACATCAGAAACTGTGTGCACACACAAACACACACACGCATGCATATGCAATGCCCTGAGCCACTCAAGGGCCCAGGAGAAGTTCCCTAAGCACTAAATTAATTACATGAAACTACCAAGATGACAGCTCACCCTGTAAGTTATCTACATTAGCAATTTCCATCCAAATAGCTCCAAAACCTGTTTATAAGCTAAAACTAGAACCATCAGTTGGGATCGTTGAACTGTTCTCCCTACCAGATAAAGAAATACAATTGATCAGTTTAGTCCAGTAGTATTAATACAAAGAGCATAAATACAACTCAAAAAGACAATAAAAGGAAAAGTAGTTATGCTTAAATGCTTAAATATTACTGTAGTATTTCTCTTGTAGGACTGATGTCCTTTAGGGAAAAAACAGATACGGGGTATAGCCAGCTAGTCCATGTTTTGCCACATTATTTACAAGGAATCCTGCCACATCACCACGCATCCTGGATTAACAAAATAACTTATATTACCTATAGTTTTTTTCCTCATTGACCATCTAATGTCCTTATGTCTTCTGCTGAATACAAACTTCAAGAGGTTCCTGAGAATTGCTTGGAAATTTCATCGCATGAAGTAGGACAGTTAAATTACTGGGCAGAATGCAAAAGCAGCAGTACTCCACTCTGAGTATCAACTAGCGAGGTTTTCCAAGCAGTATCAACGCAAATACAAAATCCATTTTTTTAAATAAGGATGACATTTTGACTAATTTGAAACATAGGTAGTTCAAAAAGAATCATACTTCAAAAAGGATCTAGAGACACACTAAAAAGCTGGAAGAATGAGATGCACACTGACTCTCATTATACTGGATTTTGGCATCCAGCCATCCGTTACACAACGCAAAGTGAAGAGGAGAGGCAGGCTCAGGTACGCAGTAAATCCCAGTCGGAAAACAAACAAGAAGAGTCAGACAAGGCTTCGCATGATGATGAACAGGAATGTTTGTGTAACGCGGCACCGACCTCCAACCCAAGGGAGAGATCTATGCCAGCATGCTGCCAAGCCTGCTGACATAACTGAGACTGAATTGTGGGTGGCACTCCAACTCAGGATGTACTCACAAGCAGCCAGAAGAAAGTAACAGCTCAGCTATTTGGCAACCACATACATAATGGGACTAGTAATTCCCACACCAAAAAGAATTGCCAGCTTTCTAGACAGCACATTTTCCATAAACTTTGGAATAACGCTGATGACAATGAAACAAAGAACAGACTACATCATCCCAGAACACGATCCCCTTGTGTCCTAGCCCCTCCACCAAAGTGCAGAGCAACATCCAAATTTCACGTGGCGTAACAGAAAAACACAGGATCTTTCTATACAATGGACCATGTAACTTTGTATTTCACAAAATTCAAATACTCATTCATGTCTTTCAGTGACTTTTGCTAAGCACCTATGTCATAAGGATACCTTGAGCCTTCTATTAGAAAAGCATTTGTGCATTTAGATAGGTTGCTCCTCTGAAGGTGCATCTAGCCTGCTGCTGCTCCCATGTACAGCTTTAAAGTAACTGGCTCTGATGCTTGTGGCAGCACAGAGCTCAGCACGGGCTGTACGGCTCCTCCAGGGTACTAAATATATCAGTCTAGGCCAAGTCTCCATGCTGATATAGCACCTGTTTGCTAGTACTACCTGAACCATCTAGCCTGAAATTAATTCCAGCACTACCATGATGCTGGTGGTTACATCTTTGTGATCCAAATCTAGATATTCCTAAAGAAAGCCATGACAGGCAGCCTTGCATTTCCTTAACAGCTCTCACGTGAAGCCCTTTGGGAACCTTTTAACATCTGTTAGTTCACTGGAAAAAAATCACAAGGTGCATGGAGCAGACCAACTCTCAACTCTCTCAGTACACAACTGTCTTAACATGGGATAAACAAAGCACCTAGCACCAATGACATCTGATATAAGTTCATTTATAACAAAAGGAAATTATTTGAGAAAACACCAGAACCAAGCTGCAGCTGGGAGCTCATATACCACACAAGAGGATGCATATCCCCTACTTCACCACTCCTCTAGCACACTGAGATGTTCAGAAGAGAAAGTTCTTTCTGTTGGATACAGTCTTTAAAGAGCAGTCCAGAACCTCCCTTTAGAGTACTCAGAGTCTCAGTGACAGCTTCTGCTGGCTCAGGGTGCAGTAACACACCTCTTAGTCACAGCAGGCTGAAACATTTGACTCCTAGCTCTATACTGGCACCATGGTAGGTTCATCTCTATTTCAGTCTTTAATGTGTTTTTAAAGCTTTCAATATTCATGGTGCTGCTCACATCAGTTTGATTTCCCTCTAGAATTAATCCAACAAAGATGTGCTCCATGTGGAACTTGTGGTTCATGGAGGATCAGATCATACTTTCCAAAGCCATACTCAGTAATCCTGCTGTAGGCCATTAGCAGAATCCCCTTTTATTTATTTGGTTTTCCATCATTTACCAAATATTTTACAAACATGCAGAAACAATGTCAAATCAAACTATTTATAGTCTTTTATAGCCTATTTATAGTCTTTAAACTCCAGCAGCATGCCAGAGACAGTGGTGTAAAAAAAGGATTAATCAGGAAGTTAGGACTCTCCAACTCTGAGACAAAGCAGTGGAGTCCACCTGTGGAACCAGCCACAGTTCCTCATCACACCCATTGCCTTGCCGAGCCATCAGCTGCAAATGTGCCGAAACAGGCACCTCCATCACCTGCCATGTCTTCTCAAAATGCAGCAGTTAAATTCTCTTGCCTTCCTACTCCCAAAGAGGAATAAAATGTTTAACCACCTTTAGAAAATCTTAGCCAAGGACACAAAATTCTTCAAGATGAGCAACCTCTTCTCAATTTAAAACATACTCACACACAAACAGAGAACTATGTCCAGCTCTGCTTCTGCTTCAGTATTCAAGCACATTTGAAATCAACAGAATTTTTCTAAGTTTATATACAATTAAAAATCAATTGTGTTGAAAGGAGAAGCCTCAAGAGCATACCCAGGAATTGCTTTCTACTGCTCCATTTTTGATGCTTACTATAAAAAGTCCAGTATCTGATGGCACACGGGAAGACTGCCATCCTAACATGGCACTGCCAAGGATACAACAACATGCTCCTAACGTTTTGGATCAGAAGTCATGTTTGAATAAAACATACTCCATCTGGACATTTACGACTGAGTAGCAAGTGGCAAGGTATTTACACTTCTAAGAAACCTGGAGCATAAGATTAGTCTTCCACCCACTCAAAGGCAGAGAGGATTCACTGATACACGCTCTGATGACCAGAAACAGCTTGAACTTTACAGAGCTGTCCAGAACAATCTCCATTCAAACACTGTAACACAAATGAAGCATTCGCTAATATTGCTAAAACACCACGCTGTGTTAACGTAAGATGCATTGTTCTCTTCCAAATTGCCATTTTGGTGAAAGCATCTTATTGTGAGAAAAATCTATTTTATAGCTTTTAAAGGAAATGAACCAATAAAAACACAGAATCATCAGAGGCTTATTTGCTTAAATGAGCAGCCAAGCAGATGAATAATAAAAGGTCACCAACACTGAAGCAATCCAAATACCACAGTGATTTTTATGATCGGTCCTGCTTTAGCACAAATGGAGGTCTACGACGACACCCTCGTTGCCTCTATTTCCTCACCAATATCACCTTCCTCAAAAAACCATTCTTACAAAACAATTGTTATCTGAATCTTTCAAGGACTTTTAGTCAAAGTGAAACAAATGCTCCCCCTTTGTAAATAAGGATGGGCAGAGGGGTAAATCCAAGGCCGCAGAGGCAGGACAAGAATCTATATCCATGCTGCTTAGCTTTAAATCCAGTTTTCTGTGCAACCACTGCTTCAGTGAAATAACACAGGATCTCATTACTCAAAGTTTAAAGCTTGAAAGAAAAAAAACAAACAGTGCCTTTCAGAAACCACAGATTTCGAGCCCTACAAACATTCCCACCCACATAATCCGTATTGGAGTCAGATGCAAAAAATCCTTTCTATACAACCCACAGTCCTGAAAACTGTTAAAAATCTCCTTCCAATATCCGCTTGGACATTCTTAGCTGTGCAAAAATAGTTGTTTTCTGCTGTTATTGTTCTGAAAAAGAACTGCTATTCACTGTGGTGATGGGTACAATGATGTAGAGGCATTTGAGCAAAAGATTTATTCATCTTGCATCTCTACAATTGCTCAAGGAAGGATAAACAGGATAGCAAAAGCAGAGAAAAGACTAAACTTAGCATAGTGTTCTCCAAATATGTATCACTGAAAACATTCTGTATTGGCAAACACTACAGGCTACTGTGCAAACAGGCTATCTAAAATATTCCACCAAATTAATCATCCCTTGCCCTCCCATTTCAGTGTCTAAACCACAAGATTTCTATCATTACACAGCAGTTTAATAAGGGGTGATTAGAAAGTTCTGGAGGAGCTCAATCTCAGAAAGAGGTACGTTAGCAGAACAGTAAGTTCTCATTATTTCAGTAATAATGACAATATTAGTCACCTGCCTTTCACATACAATCCATTAAGCTGTATTTGATCTCTCAGAGCCTCTCAAGTCCAATCAAGAAATCCAATAAGCTGCCTAGAGTTTTCTTTATTTTATATTGAACAAATATAACCCTGTACTAAAACCAAGGTAAAGCCAAGACACCTTTTCCCTCCCCTGCACTTTTCTCCTGACTTCATCTTAGCATCTGGGATGCAAAACTTCTACTAAGTAAAGATGGTTTCCACTGTATTTTACCCAGTAACAGACTAACTGTGAATTCTCACTTTGCCCATTACAGAATTGGACATTTCAGGCTACTGTTAACTTTGCTGGCAAGAAAATACGGTTTATTTACAAAGAGAGAAAAGGCGACAGCTAGGAGGAAACAACGGGAAGGACGGACACAGAGCAGATTTTAGACATAACTGTGCTGCAATCAAAGGAGTGACTGTGGCACTGTCTCCTATTATCTAGCTTAGACCAGTAGTTGCAATACCAGCATCACAGAGCTCTTCATAGGCAGAAAGACTCTCATAAGTTATCTCACACTGAGCATCATATTTCTATAACCAAACTACAGCAGGACTCAAGCCAGTTAATTTAAAGCTAACTCTAACCTCACTATGCTGCTCTGCAATCATCATCCTGTACTGCAGCAGAATCACATCCTTCGGTGCACTGCCACAATCGATACTGTAGAGTACACCGGCACAGCTTCTGCCGCCTGGTGGTTCTACCAGAGTATCCCTGTACAGCACACAACTCAGCAGGTAACTTTACCCTGCATCTTAAAAACGTATTATAATTGCTACACGATCTCTTTCACATCATTAGGTCTTTCCACCTCAAGCCTGCCTACGTAACTGTCTCACTTTTTAAACAAGTAAATTTCCCTAATTTCCTCTCGTTGTAAGGATCCTGGAGCTTTCTAAAAGACCAATGCCTGGTCAGGAAGGCGGTCCGTTTATTCAGCTTCAAAGTAGTTTTGATTTTCTATTGAATCAAGCTAAGTAAGAACATACCTCTTCTTTTCCAAGGGTTTTCAGATGATCCAGGATCTGTGCTATCACTGTTTCACACAGTTTATTAATTTCAGCCAGGAACTTGGAGTCTCCACCATACAGGGTATCATTGGAATCAACTGCAGAGATGAATTCAGGCTTAGGTCTGAAGAGCTAGGCATTTTTTTGCTACTGAAAACACCAACTATTTATAGAAGACCAGATTTGGAAGTTATAAAATGACCCTCCTCCATCAAACACAAACAGAACAATCTTGTCTAAGTGCCTACCATTTGGTTGGCTACAACGTCCTCTTGATGTTAAGAACAAAACACTGAAAAGAATCTTCTAGCTTAAAGTCAGTCCTGTATTCCTGGATGCAGCCAGGCTCAAAACTATCTGCTAAACTTAAATGCAAAGCAACATATAACGTCAATTTTCACTTATTCCACAGAGACAGAGTCCCTGCTCCCATCAATTTAGGAGGGTATGGCCATCATCTTCAATGGCAGCAGGACTGGGCCAAAGAGTTTATATTTTACTTAGTGAAAACAACAAGATTTTCAAAGGAAACCACATTTTATTTGTTTTCCTAAAATAAAACCTGGATTACCTCAAAGTCATGGAGAGAAATTCATAAAATGTATTTTCAATTTCAAAGACCTTGAAGGATTTTTTTTGAGGGACAGAGCTCTTGATGTTTTTAGAGTTTATATAATTGTGATTTTAAACATGTGTTTTGGCCTCATTTACTCTACAATGTTTTACTAAGAAGTAAGTTACAAGAAATTTGTAAGTTTAAGTGTATCCTGGGTAAATTAGACAGCACAGAAGATAGAAAGTGATCCCTTGTTCCAAGTAAACTATATTTTAAGAAGCTAAGGTACATGGTCCACCTAGAAAAAAAATTATCATCCAACTACAAGGGAGAAATTACTAATTTGTATTTCTATATTTCTCTACATTGAAACCTAATTCATTTAAATTTCTCATTTTGGGATTATGTAGTTATTCAGGTCATATAAAAAAATGGAATGAAAGACAAAGCAGCTACACCACATTTCCTTACAGAATTTGAACAGCAGATTTATTATACAGTAGTTGTTCAACTGACAACTATTTTCTGTGTTGCTAACTGCAAGAGCTACTGTGTCACGGTTGGTAACTCTGATGGACTGTTCCCCAGAAGAACTGCAGAATATATTCCAGCCTGTGTCTTTGTGAAAGCCCTGTGCAACTGAAAGAAAAAGCCAAAGTAGCTTGGCCTCTCAGACTAAATAATCTTGACAGTATGCTTTAAAAGACTCGATTAATACTCTACCTTAATTTAGTAACTTCTCTATGATCAGAAGGCAAACACTCGAATTCTAGAGCAATCAAAATATTATTACGAAAAGACCACAGTCATTTTATAAAATGCAAAATCTTTAGATTTTTTTCCTAGCTATTCTGAAGATTTTTGTAAGTTATCACCATAATTTCCAAAACTGAAAGCCTGCCTTTAAAGCAACAAATACATCATTTAAATAATGAAGACTAGGCATTACATTCTGAAAACTGGAGTTGTTAATAAATGTGACTGAAACATCAATGATAAATATAAATCAAGTTGATATTTTACACTAAAAGAAAACCCTCCATACGGATTAAGTTCTAATATTTACTTGAAGGGTTCACAGTTCTAAGTACTTGCATCAACATCATCAGGAACAAACTACGGACAGACTGTACATCTGTTTGGCAGCCACTTCCTCTGATATTTTAAGTTACAATATCTGGACCTGCATAGGACAGTAATCCACTCTGTAAGATTGACTACCATTGATCTTCATTAACTAGGTACAGCAATAACACAACACTACAAACTGCATGGCAGAACACAAGGATTCAGAGTCACCCTTATATATTACCTTTATCTACATGGTAGATATATGCTTCTTGAGTCATTGCAGACAGCAGATGCAAAACATTAGTATAAATCCTGACTTTGTCATCGCTGTTATCCTCCCAAGTATAATCCTGGATCACATTTAGTAATCCTCGCACAAGAAACAACACTCCTTGTTCTGGATGGTCCTAGAGAACCAAAAAAAAGACAAGTTACAAACAACAAACACAAGAACCTCGAAAGAAAAATGAGATTATTTCTGGTCATTCAGGGTTTAGAGTCACAATATCAGCTCTATAAAAGCAAAAACTACAATATAATTAAAGCTGACAACTAATTTTCTGAAGCGTGCTTCCTGCAAATCCTTCTAAAAACTTGTTCCAGTGTCCTTCTAAAATAGCGATTTGACTCATAATCATAAACTTCATCTAGGCAGCCTCCACAAACTTTGAAATGCTTTGTTTTCTAGTTACAAAGGAGTAGTACAAAATTAATTTTCAGTTTCTTAACAGCTAAGCCTCTAAAATTAAACACACTGGGTCGATTTTTTTTTATTGAGATAATGTCAGTAAGCTATAGAAACAAGTATATTACTCATACAATTATGAGTTTCAGAAGAACACCTACACTGGGAAGCCAAAGTTACAGACAATCAACAATCTTTTAATATAAAAAGAATATAATTATAAAGACATCTACTTTACATAAGCTATGAGTTTTTGCAAGCAGTTTTAATACTGCACCCAGCTTATTTCAAGCTGGCAGTTGGTGCAATAATATGCAGGTCAAATCACAGTCCACTGAGGACACTGCCTTCTGATCATGTATTCTGTGAAGTAAACAGGAGAAAAAAATTATGGAATCTAATTTCTGAATCCTGGTTATCTCATTTCAAGTTCTTCATTACTGAATCTGAATGGTTGGATCTCCCTCCTTCAATCATCTGCTAATGATCTGAGCCATTTCTCTGAGCAGCACCCAGTTCTGACATAGCTTTCCTTCAAAGTCTTACTTCTGCAGTCAGTGGACAGCAATGACACATCAGTGGCAACTAGCCTTTCCCTTCTAACAACACAGCACCTCCATGTTGCTCAACATGCATGGCTTGGAAGATCCCTTCATTGGAAAAAGGAGAATACGCTGCTCTGACTATAAGGATTTGGACAGCTTCACCAAACATGTAGTCAAAGAAAAAAGAGAAGGAGGAAACCATAAGGAACATTTCAGTGAGGAAGAGCAACCTACTTTCTTCAAGAACAAATGAATAAGCCTCCAACTTTCCTTTTTTTTTTTTTTTTTTTTTTTTTTTTGTTTTTAAGCATGCCATTATACTAAGTCAACTCTTGCTGGGAAAGAAGAATATCTCAGAAAGGGCCGGAGCTTTTAACAGAGGGAGGTAAAATCTTTAATCACTAGGTTTCCAGTGCAGTGAAATCTTGAGAGTCAGTGGCCTGTCTTTCTTCTCTAAGGTCAACAAAATACCTTGAACAGGTAAGTTTTATCTCGGGTCTTCCAGATTAGTTTACAATTTTTCCTCCTCTTCTAGCTATAGCTGAAAATATAGGAAGGAAAATTACCTATAGATCTCTATTTAAACTTGACAACTGGTAAAAAATGGAAGGGTGTAGAATGCTAGTTTTTTGTGAATATTAATCAGAAGAGGAAGGTTATGTCAAAACACATCACCTAATTGTTTTCAGTCAAAAGATTAGGCAACCTCTAACAAAGAAATTAACTGAAACTAGAGCTCTGTATTTTTCCCCTTCTCAGGTATTAGATTTTATGAGTGCTCAGCTAAAATACTACTTTTCTGCAAGGATCTATTAGAACAGTAAATGACTTTTACACAGTTAAATGATGGCAAGATTTCACTCTACCTCAAATCCAGTTAAGTGCAAGATGCTATTGCGAGAGGCAATGCTGTACCTCCATGTCTGAACAACTGTTCTGCCTCCTCATTTTGCACTGGGGTGAGTGATTTTGCAGCCAATGAGCAATTGGGTTCGGCTTGCTCCCGGAAAACTAAACACTGCATCTGCTGCTCCCAAAAGCCCCATCTACTCTAAATTTTTAAACAGGAAAGCCAAAATAGTCTACTAGTCTATGTGCTATTCATACACACACAACTTACCGGAACAACTAATAACGTGGAAAAAAAATTACAAAGGAATTCCAGGAGAAAGGCATCAGAAGGTCGCATCTTCCCATCTACACTGATCATTTTTGGCACTTCAGGAACAAGGCTCACTGCAGCTTTGAAAAAAGCATCAGCTACAAAATAAAAATATAGTTGCTGTATTATCAATCCAACCGCGGTGGCAGCCGTGCCTGTGATTCAATGATTGCTTCGAGTTTGTTTCAAAGAGACTACAGGAAAGGAACGCATGCTTAACTGCAAAGAAACTCAAGACTCAGCAGTCAAAACCTGTGGTAATTCAAATGATGCTGTTTTTCCAAAAGAAGTTCCCACATCACTCGAGACTTGTGAAATTATAATTCTCTCCTTTGCTTTACAAGAGGACACCATTGTTACATTGTATTATAGAGCGCATACATAATTTTTTTAAAATCAGCACACAATTCAAAATTGACTTATCTAAAGAAATGGTTATGCCAGGAGAACAAGGAATCCAAAGAGGGGAAAAAAGTGTATTAGATCATGCTAACTTGTTCACAAATTCATTCACGGAAGGCTGTTAAAGTTATAAGGAAGTACAGACAACTTCATTTCTCTAAGTATTCACAGTCATTAAAAGTAAAATACCAATATAGCACCAGAACCTAAGATATTGCTCATTACCTAGATAAAATGATTCTTTCCAAGAATCACAATACAGAAATTGCATAACTCATCCATCATTATGGCCTTGGCTAAATAGCTATTATGAGGTTTTCAATAATTTCTTATGTCTCTAATCCTAAAAAAACACACCCAAAACCACTAGAACATCTATTCCTCAGTTTATTAAGTTAAATATTCACAATTAAAAACAACAATATTTTCCTTCTTACCCTAGAAGTCCTATATATGCTAAGAGTTCACAAAAAGATTTCTGACAGCAACATTCTTCTGCACTTTCTTGGCTACATTTCAAAATATCGAAGTATCCAAATCCTATTCAAGTTGTTCAGTCATATACTTCAAAGAATCCTTTAGAATTAACACTGTATCTTTATTTTACAGGAACAGAGACTGAGGCCATGAAAACAAATTTTAGCAAAGAGAAAAAGAGAATTCTTGGTGAAAGCCAAGAGGTGTTACATGGCTGGGATGGAGATATCACTGACAGGCATGCACGGGCATTTCCCAGAGTGCAGTTTGCTCTGGAAGAATTCATTTGAGCACATGAGACTCCAAGCAAATTTGCTAAATATAGTACCAACAGATATCTAATTTAAGCTTATGAGGAATACCAGGCAAACATGTGCTTTGGAAAAACTGTAATTCTTCTAACTCATTCCTTTTCAGCACACAAGCGCTCAAACCCGTCTGAACTTTTCAGTGCTTAAAACGCAAACCCCTTCAGTCAAACGTCTTATTTCCTTTTATTCTGCACATTTATTTTGAGGTCAAAGAATGTTTTTTATTTATTTCAAACAAGATATAAGTTTACACAGCCAACCCAAAGGAAGGTAAGTAATCTTTCCCTGAGCTTTATTAGAGGAAGGAAAGCAGCAGCAGATGTTCATTCTAGCATGAGTAAATGAACTGCTGTCACTTCTACAGTTGTCTCAGCAGAAAAAAACTGCATGCCCCACATTACCATATAATCAAAACTTGTGACCAGACAAATGAAAAAACGCATCTCAGAGAACAGTCTGCATACCAAAGTACCTATGTCTGTGCAGAGAATCTTCCTGCCTTCTGAAGGTGTTTCACAACGGAACAGGAATGATCTGTGCAGCAATCATTCTCTGCAATGAAAGAGAAGAGCTGCAAAGTACCTCACCTTAATTTACTGCCTGCTCTCCCAGCAATCTCAGTCCTAGGCACTCTCCTCTCAACTTTTGCCCTAGCACAAAACCAAAATCTCTTATCTTCTCTATGAATAACTGCAATTTGATTCAATTTACTCTTCTTGACCTCCTGCTGTTGCTGCAAATGAGAGCTGCCTTCTCATCTGGTTGAGCGTTTTCAGAGACATGAGCTCCCTCATTAGACCTGCCAGTAAGAGCAGCATGCCCAGCTCCTCTTCAGGTGATTTCTGCTGGGAATGGGGAGAGACCCATCCACACCACTGATGGCTCACCTGGCTCTGCCCTTGCTGCAACAAGCTCCTCTGCGCTTCCATCTTTTTCTTCCCTTACCACGGCAGTCACACAGCTCCTGCCTCTGTGCTGTCTCCGTGTGGCTGCCATCCCCTCCCTGCTGCTGCATGGTTGTGTTTGCAGGTCACCTTGCAACCATGAGATATGTCACTGCCTCAGCACAATGGGGGGACTGTGGGGCTCTTGCCCCTACACTTTTAATTTTTCTTCCTTGCCTTGTTCCCCCTGCCCCTCCCCCAACACAGCTAGCAAACCAAAAAAGCCAGAGAGCATAAAAGCAGCTAGTTGCGTTTCCTGTTAAAGAGATGGATATTTTACTTGGGTACATCCAGAAGTACAGGCAAAGGAGAATATGTTCATTTTGCTACAAGTTCGGCCAATCTGTGATAACCACAAAATGGTTCTTACACTGGAACACTAAAAGGACATTTATCCAAGGTATACGTGCTTCATAAGAAGCAAAAATAAAAGTAAATTCACATTAATGCAAAGGTTTTATTAGAGACTTTGCAGAAAACTAACTATCCTCTAAACACTACCACCCTACTCACTTGTAGAGAGGTGTCAGAGTATGCATCATATGCTTGGAGTTTGGAGGAAAAGTTTACTACACAGGTTGTCGCAGAAGTGCTATTTTTAATAGGCATGAAATAAGCATCAGTGTTTAATTCTGAATGACACTAATTACAAGGTTATGCAACAGTCCTTTCTCTGTATCTTTTAGAAGTCAATTTATAAAGCTATTACTGTAGAGATGTTTCAAGAGAAAACCATACACTCACTTTTTCTGGCTTCCAAAAGGTATAAGGAACCATCTAAAACTCACCAAAAAACCACAATGTTATGTTCTTGATTTAAATAAATAAATAAAGAGAGAAAGAGAGAGAGAAAGATTAAAAAGTTTTCTTCTGGTGAAGGATGCTGTCTTCTTATCTGCCTAAGTATGACACTGCTTCTGAAGGGAGCCACTGTTAAGCTGGACAAGGATAGAGCAGCCTGCACATTACAATAAATCATCACGATAAAGTCTTCCCAGACTGCTGTTAATATCTTGTGCAGTGCTCCAAACATGACATACTTCATGCTTCGCTAAATTTATCCTTTCACAGCAGCTCCTTCATTTTGGTTGACCATAATCCTACAAATCTTTCCCCCGAGCATACATGCTGACCTTCAGGCTCTGAAAACTAACAATCTTGGATATCCAAGTCAGCACTTCCAGCAATACTCTCCTACAGAAAACGCAAGTGAAATTGGTGATGTCCATATTCCATGATGGTACATACACACAGACATTTAATTATATCTACACACAAATATATGTACCTCCATATATTTCTATATAACAATCTCTCTACATATAAAAATATAGCTTACATTGTGTTTGCTGCATCTGTGATAGTCAATTAAACCGTACTAATTTAAGACTTCAGGCAGGCAAAAAACTCGAGGAACAAAGCCATTAGAGATGGGAAAACAACTAAGCTCCTTAAGTCCACCTTCAGAGAGCAAAAAGGATTGAGTCTGACATACCTACACAAAGTATTTTTAGTCACGGATACAATTACACAAGACTAAGTCCACCCGAAGGACAAAACCGCAGACCACGCGCAGTCTTTGCCATTCCACATCACCTTTGTGCCCTACAACACGTATTTTAATACTCCAAAGATTTTGCTTCCACATCTGACAGATGTTGGAAATTTAATGAAGCCTTGTACTCCCATGCAAAAAATTAACGGGAAGCAAGTGGAGTTTTTTGTTCCTGTGTTTTTTGGGTTTGTGTTGTGGGTTTTTTTTGCTAAATAAATTAATGCATTACTGTTTTGACGACCAAGCATTGCTAACATTTGGAACGCCTTCTCCTGACACTGGTGAGGTCACTGAGAGTTTTGCCACACTATTGAAACGTGTTTCTCCCTTGAGCTATTGAACATTCTCTGTCTTAAAACCGTCTACACATCACTTCCAATCCAGAAACTGCAAAGAATTAGTTGAAGTAACAAAGATCAAATACGAAAATGCATGTGCTGCTCCTGGGTGAACTCGAATGTATTATATTAATTCACACTATTTCACACTATGAATTAGCTGCAAAAAAAAAAGGGATTTATGTGGATGAAGCTTGCTAGTGCTAGTTTTAGGAACAGCCTGATTATAGATTATTAGCAAGGCCTTAGTACTTCCAAAGGCATACAGAGGCATAAGTGGAAGGGAAGGTTCGTACAGGGAGATCATACAATATAAGCAAGAACACTGGATACAAGGTATTTTATTCTTAAACTGTAATCAGTAAATGCAACACACACCACTCAACCACCCTCAAAAAAACACAAATAAACAAAAAAATCCAACCACAAATTTCAGCCTGCCTCTCTAAATTCCACGTAATCGCTAAAGATGGTGAGGTAAAGCATCAGCAGCAGTCCTTAAAGAGAACACCATTAGTAATACTGGCAACTTTGAAATAATAAATGCTATAGTTAAGTACTGTAGTTTCTGCTGGCTATTATGAGGTGACAAAAAAATAAATATCAAACAAGCAGACACATGGAAAAACATAATACTATACTGAAGAGTCAATATGGTTTTTGCAGAGAGAAATTATTCCTCAGAAGTCTCTCAAGTTTTCCAAAGAACCAGCAAGTTTGTGTTTAAAAGCGACCCAGCCAATGCTAATACTTCAATTTTTAAAAATATTTAAAAACGTCCCTCATGCAAGAGGCTCTTAAAACAACTAAGCTGATAAAACATAAGAGGAAAGTCCTCCTGAAGATTCATAACTTAATAAAGGATGGGGTTGAGGGGGAAAGGAGTGGGAATAAAAAGTTTTCACAGTGGAGTGAAACTACCACCAGGTTCCTTAAGGTTTTGCAGAGATACATGTCCTTAACGATGAGCTGGGAGGTGACCATGTTTGCAGACTAGTCTGGAATGTGACTGCAAAGCATCGCAGATGGATCTCATGATTTTGAGCAATAAAGCAGCAGATGAAACCTAAT